ATAAGAGCACCATATACGAATGCTTCCATGGCTAGCTCGGTTTCCGCATCTGAATCCGATCGAACATGTTTGGGACATGACTGGTCGGAGACTTCTACGTTATCCGGCTTCCTCGGCTAACGTTGAGGAGCTATGGAGACGAGTTGAGGTGGCATGGTTGGCCATCCCTCTCGCTACAATATAGCGACTTATAGACTCCATGACACGTCGTGTAGCGATGGTACGCGAAGCTCACGGGGGATACTCTCGCTATTGATGTTTCTCCTCCCAGCAGAGTTGTGCCGTTCTCCATGTGAGAGTAAGTTATACTACTTTAGTACTACTTCCATACCAAATTTTATTGCGTTAGACACACGCGTTTAGATTATACAGGGTGTGCTCGTGAATTATTTCCAACAGTGTATTATGAATTAATACTTGCTTTTTTTTGTAAAATCATTTAAGTATAAGTAAATTTATATTGTTTACTACATTTCTGTTTTATTTTGTTGAATTAAAAATAAAATAAAAAAGAAGTGCGTCCCTGGACCTAGTTCCCTAGGAGGACCTATCATAAATCATGTCCAGGTACTTTTTCCGGGTGATAATTACTGCCACTACTGTTTCTGAGGGTCATAAAAACCACCAGAAATATTGAAGACTATAAACAATGTGGCAAAAGCTTTTCACGGAAAGGAGGTGGGACTACATCGCTAAAACTTCATCTTAAATCACAACACAGTGATAAGTACGAAGAACTTTTGCTACTGGAAAAAGGTAACCAACAAAATAAACCACAAACAGCCAAGCAACTGACACCTTTACAAGAGTGTAAAAAACAGTTGACACTAAAAGATTCTTTTAAAAATAAAGGTGCCTGGGATGAAAGTAATACCAAACAAAATGAAATTGATAAATTAGTGACTGAAATGATAGTGTTACAAAACTTGCTATTTAATTTTGTAGAAGGTGTGGGATTTCAAAGATTAGTGCAGGCAGTCTTACCACGTTATAATCTTAGAGGTCGACAGTACTTTACTAATTTACTGTGCAATGATATCTACAATAAAATGAAGTTAAAAATTCTGGACTTATTGAAACAATTTGAACAGTTATCATTTACTACAGATGTGTGGTCCGAGCCCAGCGCAAATGTCTCGCTACTTAGTCTTACTGCTCATGGCATCACGAATAATTATGGAAAAGTTTCTATAATACTCAAGTGTGAACAATTAGAGGGTCGGCACACAGGTGAAATTATAGCGAATCATTTAAACAATATTTTGCAAGATTGGGGCTTAAGCAATGAATCAGTTCATTGTATTTTACGCGACAAAGGATCTAATATGATAAAAGCTATGAGTACATCAACTGCAATTATGTGTTCGGTCAGCAATGGAAACCGAAGAATTTATCTCGCCAGTGGTTACAAAGTGCAAAAAAATTGCTACTCACTTCCATCACTCACTAATTGCTCAAANCTTAAGGTACCTTTACACTATTCGATTCGATTCGATTTTACATTCGATTTTCAATTCGAGTTGAATATGAGCGACTTCACATTCTCCGATTTTCAATTCGAGACATCCGGTCCGAGATAACTTTCGAGATTCGGTTCGATTTTTGAACAATAGGACGGTGTCTATTTTCTTCCGAGATCTCATTCGATTTGCAGATATGAGCATGCGCAGTGGAGTCTATTTCAATAGATAGCGTATTTAATCGGAAAAAAGTAAACTTTTCGTAATCGTAAAAAAAAAGTAGGGAATATATTTATTATATTTAGTGTTTTTAATAGTTCTTTTTTTAATAGTCATTAATGCTTTTTATAGTGAGTCATTATTTATCCTTATATTTTCTTTTTTAATAGTAGTCATTTTTTGTAGTTTAGTATAGTTATATTATCTCTATGCAACAGTGCAACGGCGTTCGTGTGACGATCAATCTCTTTTAAGGTTATAAGCAATGTCGACCGGTGGAAAAAGGGCTGTTAAAAAAGTAAGCGATCTAATTAATACCTTCTAGCTTCTATTTACAAAGCTATCTGCTTGTTTTAGACAATAACATGGAGTAAAGAACGTGTGCAACAGTTCCTGGAGTTGTTTCAACAACAACCATGTTTGTACGAGACGCGGCACGCGTTTTACGCGAACAAACATGCCAGAGCAGAGGCTCTAGATAGTATACGTCTCCAGTTAAATATTCCTGATTTAACAATAGACGATGTGAAAACAAAAATAAATAATATTCGGTCCCAAATGTCACAAGAACTGAAAAAAAAACGCGAAGAGCGCAGTGGTATGGGTGCTGATGATAAAAATGAACATGTATGGTGGTTTGAAGAGGCCCAATTTTTATTGCCCCATATGAAAACTAGGCAAGGGAGGGACTCGTTGGAATCCATACCTGTGGTAAGTTATTGTGGAATAAAGGTGTCCTTTACTATTGCGGTGTTTCATAGGCTCACACTGAAAGTACAGAAGTAACAGATGATGATGAAAACAACTCTGTGAGAAGCAATGTTCCTAATGAGAGGGTACCTGTCACCTCAGTCCAAGATGGGAAAGGTACAAAACGGCAACGACAGGATTCAGAACAAAATGAACACCTTCTATCTACTTTAAAGGCATTGAAAGAAAGCGTTCATGAATTGGGAAAAGAAGGTCTGCCTGAACAGGAATTTGCAAATTACATTGCTAAAGAATTGGCTAGCATAGACGACTCTGAAATTAATTTAGATTGTAAACATGCTATCAACAATATTATTTATGAATACAAAAAGAAGTTTCTTCAGAAGAAGATGGAGTTAACAAATAAAATTATAGAATAATATTACATTTTATTTTTATTAAATAATTACAATCTATAACTTAAAAGTTAAATCTTTTTACTGCTTCCTTTTGCCACGATACTTCACCCACTCCATTGAAATAATTTGTCCATTCAGTTCAATATAATTTCACATTTCAGCGTATTATGGTTCGGTTTAATACTAATAATAGGATCTTCATCGGTATCATTATCATTTGTATCTTTTAACATTTGTTGTCTAACGTAATCGTTTATATTTTTTATTTCATATGATCCTGTAGGAATTTCGATATATTTCTTATTACTACCATAATATAGTCTATTGCAACCGGTTTCGATATTTGGTATACTATTGTATGTAAATAATCCTATGAGACCGATCGCATACTCAGATGATTCATTTAATTCGTATGGCGGGTAATAGTCGGCAGAGAGAATATTATCTCTACCACGCAGCGTGAATGTACAAGACATGACTAAATTAATTTTTATTGAATATCATTTTAAATACAATTTTTTCTTAAAAATTCTAAACATAAATGACCGCAATTTACAGTATCAAATTTTTGATATCTTTTATGATTATAATATACTTTCACATTTTTTCCAAAATATTCTAAAAGTTCTAGTGGAGGTTTTAAATTACCGAAACTATCAAAATATTGAACATCATTTTTTTTACAATAGGCCACCCAATGTGTACCGCGTCCCTTAATCGAATCCAAATTAATTACAGCACATTCTTTTTTTAATGGTTTTTTAGGTAATTTATCACGCATATTAAACGCCCCCTAAAATTAGATAAATTTCGTCTTCCATATCCTCGAATAACGTCATCGGTTAACGGTATGATGGCTACTTTTTTTGATGTTTTTTTTTCTCTATAAATAACCCCAATCCTTTACGATATGGCTGTAGATAAAGTCCTTTCCCCGTTTTTTTCCCTATTGCTATCGCCTCCATTGTTCTATTATGACGTTGTTCTTCAACAAATTTGTCCTTAACAGCTTTCGTATCTTTTACCGCTTTAACAACATTGCTAACACCGGAAGCGAGCGCACCGGCGGCCGACAATCCGGCGAACAGCGGCACTAAAAACGGTAAAATGCCTCCGGATTTAGCACTTCTTGTCCCCCTACTCGGAATCGGTATAATGCGAGGTGTACGAATTTTTGCTCTACCTCCAACATTCTTTACAGTTTCCCTTGCGATGGCTAAAGCGAGCTTAGCATTTTCATTTAAATTATCAGAGATATTTTTATTTTTTAATTTCATTTTAATGGGTTTTAAAATATTTGCAGTAAATCCTACATAGGGTTGCTGATGTTGATGACGACGATGACGACGACGATGAGCATGACCTTTACCTCTCTTATTGCGTCTAATTTTCTTTTTAATGCCCAATCCCAATTTTCTCTTTGTCTTCATACCTGTTGTTACCAACCAAGAACTAATTTTCTCTCCACTACTCGAATTCTTATCTACTACTCTTTTCCACGCTTCTTCTTCTAATATTTTATCCGCCTCGTGTCTTGTATGTAAATCCTTATAATTTGAATAAGCTATATCGTGATTCTTACAAGCTTTATCGAATAAATTAATGCCAGGGTCTCCTCGACTTAGACGTTTCTGATGTTTCGTGCCCGGTCCGCAATATTGATAACCGGGAATATGTAATTCGATAGGTAATTTATTTATGAATGAATTGAAAATATTGCTGTCACTAGCACCTCCTGTAACGATTCTATTCATTACACTAATTATTAATATGCAAAACATAAACATATATTTCATTTGCGAGTTGTTTTTAGCAAGCGATGCGTCTTCTAAAAGCAAAACATAATATTAAAATACGCGACATCGATCAAGCTCAAGTGCGTGAGGATAAACAGCAACCACATCATGGGAAACAGCTACCTAATACTATTCGCGCGGTAATTGCGGGACCCAGTAATTGTGGAAAAACAAACGTTATGCTCTCGCTTCTCTTCGATC